TATATAAAAATGGGTTAGTCTATTTTAACATAAAGAGAATTTGAGAGGTTTATAAAATTCATCACATATTTCGTTTTGATAATCTAAACTATTCACTTTTTAAGACTCGTTAAGTAGAATATTTATACAAAAAATCAAAATGATTGGGTGTCAGTAGCTATATATTTCAATCAAATTTATATTACAAAAAATAAATTTGTAATTATATTTGTGATATATTTTTTTAAAACAAATACGATTCAAATATATAGTTACCGTTGTCCAATCATTTTTATTTTTTACATGAATATTCTACTCAATAAGTGCAAAAAAGTAAACTGTTCGGATCACTGAAATCGGTTCCAAAATTAGTCTACGAAATTTAAACGCTCTCTCAAGTTGAGATAACAATTTGAGAGAAATCAAACCTTATAAAAAAATGAAAGTTATGTAATAAAACAGTATAGAAATTATAAATAATGGTTAACAACTTATCATCCTAGTAACAAATTTCGAATTCGACTATTATTGGACTAGACATAATTCGGAATTGGACAGTTATTATGAAGAATCAAACATAATTTAGAAAAAATAAAAATAAAAAAGAAATTTAAGTAAGCAATATATATACTTAGAAACATTAAAAAAATATGAGTCCTCCTTCCATAATTATTTTAAAGAATCCCATAATTTATTTAACAAAAAAAAAAAGCTGGGGAATTATTCTCATTATACGGGATAATTGGAAATACATCATGATTTATTATGCTGATAAATTGGGGAATCATTCACTTGACAAAACTATTTGAATAGATTTAGGCCCTGTTTGGTAGAGCTGTGGGAAAGTGCTTATAGCTTATGCCTAAACAGCTTATAGCTTATAACTTTCAGCTTAAGCTGATTTCCAGCTTATTCTTAAAGCATCTCCTGCCCCACTTAAAGAATAAGCTGTTTTCTGACTTCCACAAAGCTATAAGCTATAAGCTATAAGCTAAACCAAACACATCAAAATAACTTAAATTAAGCTGAAAGCTGAAATAAGCTGAAATTAAGCTGTACCAAACAGGGCCTTAGGAAATTAAATACCTAGTAGTATAGATCTAGGTGTAGATTTGAATACAAATACAATGGAAAATAGTTGATGAATTTTTTCAGTTCTAATCAATAAAACAAAAACTTATTTATTTACAAATTCGGTCTTGTGTTTGAGAATTTGAAGTCTTGCTCATATGAACTTAAGCACATGTATAGAAATGACTGGTTTAAAATTAAAATTCTATCTTCTCTCTCCAAATTTTAGCTAGTGCTTAACTTGTTGATACCCAAACTTATTACCTAATGATTAAAAAAAAAAAAAAAAAAAGAGAAAGGAAAAGGAAAAGAAAAAAAACAAGAAAGAAAGAAAGAACACACACAACCCTTATCCTCTAGCTCAATGAGCTTGTGTTGTACTATTACGCCTTTGTTTTTAATAAATATTCTTTTTTCGCTGATCAAAAAAAAAAAAAAAACACTTTTGTTGTGTTACACTGTGTACATGGCCATTCATTAAACAAAAACCATAAGAGGAGATATGTGAAAGATAAATGTGGTTGTGTCAATTTAAAAAAAAAAAAAATTATTATTATTATTATTAATTGTATAACACTAGCTCAAATGTGTACAAGTAGATATATAGAAGAAGCAATCACGACGATGAATAGTGCTAGATATCAAGAACTGAGCTAGAGAAAAATACCAAAAAAAAAAATTACTATATGTTTAGATTCAATTCTTGTGTGAAGGAACCAAATTTAAAATGGAATTGGACCACATGCTTTTTAAATTTTTTATTTTATTTTCCGTGTCTGAATTCGTGATCCTGAAGCCTAAGCTACACAGTTAGTACAATAGGGAAATTTTATGTTCCAATTTCTCTTAGTGGTGTTTTGAAAAATTGGGAAAAAATTGATTTTTTGACTTTTTAACTTTTTTAGTGACTTTTTAAACAAAAAATTGGATTGTTTTGAGTAGAAAAACTGAAAAACCAAAAAACTCGCATTTTACTGATGTTCCCAAAAGATTATTCTCCTATTTTAAAGCTTTTCTCTATCACACGACATAAGATCAAAGAAACTCAACACGTTTTTACGTTTCTTGTTCCTTTGTTAGAATTCTCTTTTTTATCACACAATATCAAATTGAAGACACTCAACGTATATGTAGTAAGAACAGAGAAAGATGGAGACAGACGATTAGGCCTCCAATTGAAACAATGAGGGGTGTGGGTGTGCCCACTGGAGGTGCATAATGATACAGGCACAGTGCAGACCATTTATTGGTTTAATAACTGCCACAACCCAGGCACAAGTGCCAGTGACGTTATAATTTCTCCCTCCAAAAATGGTAATAATTTCAAACACAACAACACTGAATGAAACCAAATGTAGTTGGTCTAGTGGATGATAATTGGAGTCCGAAGGTTTTTTTTTTTTTTTTTTTAAGTTTTAGATCGGAATTCTCTAGTAAGTAAATGTATATTTTGGGACCATAGACCGCAAGGCATAAAATCCTATTTCAGAAAATTTGTTCAGGCTGTAAGGACTTAGTTTAGTGTGCGTAAGCTGGTCCAGAATACCTTACATACAAAAATTAAAAAATTAAAAAAAAAAAAAAAAGAACATCGAATGAAGATATATATATTGAGACCTTCTTCTTCTATTTTTTTTTTTAATTTTTATTTTGTTTGTTCGTGTGCTTGTTGATGGCAACTGGAGCCCTTAGCATATGTCATAGACACTGTAACTGTGTAACAGAATATCTACTCCTATCCATAGATCTTGACCTCTCAATTTGTGGGCCCCTTAATTGAATGGACTACATTTCAATTCTTGTATTCAAGTGGACAAAAACAACATTAAAAAATTTACCATCACGTGTATAGCTAGTGTTTTTGAACCAGAAAGTTACGCAAACGGTGATAGATAGAATAGAACTCATCTTATCACCTTATCAATTGAATAAGATGGGTTAAGTCAATTTTAGCTGTCTTGTAATTATTGATGTTACTAATTTTTTTTTTTTTTAAATCATGTCAATATGGTAATTTGAATAATTACTTAAAGGGAAAATGCTGAAAAAAATTTAAAACATCAACACTAAATTTATATTCAATGGTATGAATGGTGTTGGACCATTTTAATATCTTTTGTTTATCTATTTATTTATTTTTTGGTGATTTTTTGCCTTGTCTATGAATGAAAATTATTAGGAGGTTATGGGCATTGGTGGTAAGTTAATATTTTAGAGGTTTGGGGACTCTTTATTTTCTCTAATTTAATGGTCATAATTTTTTGATATAATTTGTAAGGTTCTAGTAGCTTATAAATTGTTCCCCCTCATCTACTCATTTCTAGACTAACTCTTTTTACACTTGAGAGATTACCAGGCAAAGAATGGTATTTTTCTTGGTGAAGTTTTGGGTTTACCATCTTGTGTAAAGTTAGCTTGAACCATACGACAAGTGGTCGGACTATTATATCTTTAGAGGGGACAAGTTAGAGTTTAGTGACTGCTGCATCGGTATTTGAATTCTTCCTACTGCAATGAGTTTGATCTCCTTAAAAAAAATGAGATATCAATGCATCAGTCTGATCTATTTGTATCTCATCTTCTTTGTATTATTTATCAATCAAATATAATTCTTCTGTTATTTTTACCAACAAATGATAACATAATCGATTAAGACTTAATATCTTATGAATTGTTATACATCAATTATTTTATTTGTTTAAAAATTAATCAATTAAGACCAAACTTTTTACAACATAAATGTGAATAAATTTAAAAATAGTTCATAAGAATTGCTAGTATTACTCTTGCTTTAAATCATATGGCATGACAAGTCAAAGAAGATAGAGATTGGTGATGAAGAGTAGCAATTCATTACGTTTTGGGAATTGGGTTCAATATCCCAACAATGATTGTTTGATAAACTAATATCAAAATTGTGGTAGGTTCAATTAAAAACCAAAAAAAAAAAAAAAAAAAGAAGAAAAAAGTCAACACTTGTTGGGCATATTGGACAATTCATATATTCATAATTTGAAATTGAGAAGGTCCTCTTGCTCTTACATTTGTAGGACCCTAAGAAGAAGGCCTCATGTGATGTTGGCATATTGTAAGGGTGGGACCCTTTTCCTATGGACTAGTCTCCCTCTTCCTCTCCTTCATTCTAAGCTTTCAAGCACAAGACATCATAGATCCATACAACATGGTGCTCATATGAAACCCTCAACATGAGGGCACATGATTCTCTTTTCTCAAAACAATATTATTCTCCATTTTTTTACTTTTAATAATATTAGAGAGCCACATTTTATACCTACAAATACATTTAGACAAAAATAATACATCTCATACCATTAAGTGTTTAACTAATAAAAAATTAACTCCTATCATCAAATCACAACATTATGGGCTGAATTAATTGTGGGAGAATTTTAAGAATTTAAAACATTTTCCTTCTATTTTATTTTTAGTTGCATAATTATGCCTCAAAATTTTTATTCCATCATCTAATTAGTGTATTTAAAATAAAGAAATAAAGAATTCATAATCTGACACGAAAGGTGTGAGCACGGAAATGCAGATTTTTCTCTTTCTCTATCGATTTATGTAAGAGAATGTCATATTTAAATGGATTTCTCGTCAATATATATATATATATATATATTTTAACCATTAGTTACAAAGATGGGATTCACTTTAAAAAAAAAAATCTATTTATGTACACCATTTTCTTTTATATAATTATTAGACAATATATCATATGACATTATCTATGTAATATTCTTGACGAATGATAAACCACATAATCACTATTAAATAGATTAGTTTTTCCTTTTAACTACTTAATAAAAATATATCAATATTGTTTAATCTTAACATTTTTACTTTGTTATTAATTTAAAACACTATACAAATAATACTGAAATTATTAAATAATTAACTATATATATATATATATATGAAACCAGTCATAACTCACTTTCCGAAAGATTCTTAATAATTGAAAGATGAAAACTATAATATACTCCTCAAGAAACAAACACTAGTGACCATTTCTCAAATTTACACCCCATGATGAACAAAAAGAAAAATAAACCACTATCTCTTTATTTGTTCTTTTTGGAACCTCTCTCTCTCTCTCTCTCTCTCTCTCTCTCAATTTAGTTATTTAGAAAATAATAAATAAATTTTTAAAAATTAAACATTAAACAATAGCAGTATAGCCTTACAGCCCCATGTGTTTCATGTATCCATCTCATCTGAAATTTTTCACCACCCCCTACCACCAGCCTGCCGGAATCTGACCCACACACCCCCTCCGGCTGCAATTCTCTCACCCACACCTTCCGAAAAAGCTCATTCATTTCCTTTCACAAACCCCTACATTTCAGCTCACTCATCTGTGCCCACTGAAGGTGGTTTGTTAGCTACAATCTCATACCCACCAGCTTCATCGTCTTCATCTTCCTCGTCATCATCCTCGTCTTCGTTGTGTCCATTATCATCGTTGTGATCCTCCATTGCCGACTGGTCTCTCCGATGATCTTCTAGAAGGGGCCATTGTTGCTCCGGTTGAACCATTATCGGGACCATCATCGGATTCTCAGGCTTCACAGCAATGGCTTTCTCTCTGTATAGAGCATCGAGCTGGTGAAAATACGGGCACGTCTTCGAATCCTCGGGTCTCTTCTTGTTGCTCTCTTTTACCTTCTTGAAGTACTTGTTTATGTTCTCCCACTTCTCTTTACACCTCTTCGCATTCCGATTGTACCCGAGCTTTCTCATCGCAGCCGACATCTCCTCCCACAGCGGCCCTTTGGGTCCGTTTTCTTGGTATTTCAGATCCATATTGGTCCGAAGCTGAATCAACGCCTGAACCTCCGCTTTCGGCCACCTGGAAGAGCTCGCAACCGGGGTGAAATTTCCCCCGCCATTATCAGTCTTGGGATTTTCCGGAGTTTTAAATAGTGTTTGCAGTGATAGTTGAGATTGGATTGGTGACAGTTGCTGCTGTTGTACTTCTTGTTGTTGTTGTTGTTGTTGCGGTTGTGGTTGTGGTGGTGCTGCTGGTGGTGGCATTATTGGATTATCGTGCGGTCTCGTTTGCAGATGCGTTTGTAGTTGGGCGGCTACTTTTGGGACTACTTCTTGTCCCGATATCTTCTGCAAGTAAGCGATCACCGCAGCGTCTTTTGACGCAGCCATGGATCTTTCTTGGATTAAAAGATCATGCTCTCTATTCAATCTTGCCATTTCTTGAACTCTCCAAGCCTCTTCTCTCGCCAGGCGGTCTCTTTCGCGTTTCTCTAACGTCTCTAGAAACTTCTTCTGCATCTCTTCTTGCTTCTCAATCACTTCACTCATTAACCTCTGGAAAAAGTCTGCCCATTTTCTCTTCCTCTTGCAACGCCTCTCGGGTTCTTCGTCGGATGAAGTCGAAGATGAGGTTGAAATTGATGCGATATTCATAGACATATTCGGACCCGAAGATGGAATTGGCGTGCTGTAAGAAAGATTCGTAAGGTTTGTTGTTGTTGTTGGCGGTGGTGGTGGTGGCACTGGTTGTGGTGGTGGCGGCACTGGTTGTGGTGGTGGCGATGACAACACATTGGATGAATGGTTTAAATTTGGTGTCAATGTGATTGTAGGGTTTGCTGTTGATGGAACAGTACTGACTGGTGGTGGAGAGACAAGCTGGGTATTAGTCCCCGGCATTGTCACCGCCACAGGCGCTGGTGGTGGTGGAGCTTGATGGGTTTGAGACATCGGTGGCGGTGGAAGTAGTGGAAGCGGCTGATTTTCGAGGGCTTGTAATTGGTCGAAAAACCGATAGGTTTTGCCATCTGGCTTTGAAGATCGGCCGTCTTTGGTTCTCCGGTGGTACTTGTAAACGTTTTCGAATTTTTCTTTGCATTTCTTGGCGTTCCGATGATAACCCAGCTCAGCTAGTTTCCTGAAAAACAATTATAATTGTGTTTCTTTCTCAACTTGAATTTATCGATAAAACAAAAAAGCTAATCTTCTTTGCACATAAAATAATCATAGTGATTGAATTTGAAACATTAATTAAACAAGAAAAAAAATTAGTAGAGAAAGTAGAAGAAAATTGAGGTGAAATAACAACAAAAAGATTCGTGAGGAGATCAAAGGAAAAGAAAAAAAGTTAAAACTCTTATTTTCTAGGGAAACAAACATAAAATTCAGGCTGCTACAATAATTTACTCACTCCATATAGTCCACATCTGATTCCAATCTCAGCTGAATTGTACTAAACGGGAAGTAAAAACATAAGATGGAGACAAATTCAATACTTTAAAGCAATTCACACTTCAGCTTAACTTTCTCTCTCGAGAATCAGCAAGAAAATGCGAGAAAATGACGCAAACCCAAACACGGAATACCCGGAAAAAAATTTCTATAACGCATGTGAATTCCTCTTAACTGACCTATAAAAATTAAACCCAAAAAACCAAAAATTCAGCTGTAATTTGATCAGATCTCTAACATCCAACCCAAAAAAAAAAGAAAAAAAAAATTAAACTCATCACAATCACCTGGAAACTTCTTCCCACAACGGGCCTTTGAGGCTCGAATCACGGAACGCCACGTCCATCTCCGACCGTATCTTCAACAACGCCAACGTTTCTTGCCGAGGCCACCGGTTTCCGCCAGAATTCCGCTCACTTTCTTCAATTCTCACCTTTTCTTCTTCGCTCGGCCCGACAGAACTCGGCCCAATAACACCCACTTCACCGCCGCCGCCACCGTTAGCTCCAGGAGCAGCCGCCGCAGCGCCGTGGCCGGAATTTCCCAACATGGCAGAAACGCCTAGCATGGGTGGAGGTGGGGGGGACTCTTGTGTAGAATTACTTACTACAGCTGAGAAAAAATAAAAATATATATGAAAAGATGGTGAATTCTAAAGGGTTTTATGAAGATTGGTTGTGTGGTGAATTTATTAAATCTATTTCGGTGGATCTGCCTGTCGATCTCATCTCATACACAAGAGAAAAAATAAATAAAAAACTAGAAAATGATAGAAAGAAATACAGATAATTATTTTCTTTTTTAGCTGTGGAATCTTCAGTACTTTTTTTTTTTTAATTTTTATTGCTTGCTTTGCTGTAGAAAAGCTTTAAAGAATACAGGGGGGTCACTTGGGTTGTCTCTCAGTAATAATAAGAATAAAAAGGGCACTGAAAGATAAGAAAATGTGTGTATTATATACAAAAGCGGCAACTTGTGTCTCATGATTTGTGCAATTATGTTATTATTCTCCATATTTATTGTCTAATATTTTTTAGTACTGTTTATCTCCTGTTCACACTGCACCATGCCGTTCGACTTATCATTTTATAGGTATTTATAAATAGATCATTTATAAAAAAAATAAATTAAATCAATATCTCATATTTTATATAAATATATATATTATTTTTAATTACACACAAAAAATTTTATAGGTATATAGATCATTTATAAAATAAAATAAAATAAATTAATATCTCATATTTTATATAAATATATATATTATTTTTAATTACACACAAAAAATTATCAAATGAACGGATCAAATCATGAAAGTTGGGCTTGTTCGGTGAGACTACACGGTCCAATCCATTGTTAAACTTATTAAACGAATGAAGTTAGTTGGGATTGTTTTAGGAAGTTAGTTAAAAGTAAAGACGTGATATGATTCAAAACATTTGACTTTTAACTATGTTCCTAAATTGGCCCTCAATTTTGATTTGTGTTTGCCTCGTTAAAAACTCGTTTGAGATTAATTTAGATCTCATTGGCGAATATATTTTTTTAGTAACTTTTTAATTTTTTGTCTAAAATATAATATAAAAAAATTAGTATGTTTGAGATGAATTTTAAATTTTTTACGAAAAGATGTGTAAAAAATAAAACAAAAAGAGAATCTTTAGCTCTATTTGGTAGACCTCTAGAATCCTAGTTCCACCCCTTGCTTTGAGTGTCATGTTTGGTTAGCGCTTTTAAAAATTGATTCCGTACCTACTTTTCAAAACACGTCTACCCAGTCATCTCCCTGGACATCCTCCGGATATCTGGCCGATTGACTGGGACAGTGTTCAATTTTTTTTTTTTTGCACCTGTTATTTTTATATTTTAAATAAAAAATATTTTTGAATTTTTTTTTAAAATTTTTTATGAGTTTTGAATAGAATTTTGACTTATATATTTGGTTATGAATTGTAAGTTTTTTAATCAAATATCATATGTCACATCATTCAATTCAAAACTCTTTTCAAAACTTATAACCAAATAAATTTTGGAAAATGCCTGGTAGCTCGAAGCTATCAGGCTCGAAAATGGCTCGAGAGGAAGAGAGGGAGAGGGAGAGAAAGAGAGGGAGATGAGAAAGAGAAGGGAGGGAGAGGAAGAAGGTCGGCGTCGCAGCTCCCCGCCCCGCCGTCGTCGCAGCTCCCGCCGTCGTCGTAGCTCCCGCCGCCGCCTCTGCTTCCTCCTCCGTCGCAGCCCCGCCGATGTCGCCCCAGCCTCCCCTCCTCCTCAAACCGGTTTTTATGGCCCCCTCTCCTCCCCCCCCCTCCTCCTCCTCCCCCCCCCCGTAGCGTTTGATAGAGTTTTAGAATTATAATTTGAGAACATAATTGTATTTTGAGTTTTGAAATTATGATTCGAGTGTGAAAAATTTATCGATCATGCTACGTAGCTCGAATGTTGCGGCTCAAAAAAAAAATCGACACCAAAACGACGTCGTTTTGGTGTCGAGCCGCGTTTCGAGCCGCAACATTCGAGCTACGTAGCATGATCGATAAATTTTTCACACTCGAATCATAATTTCAAAACTCAAAATACAATTATGTTCTCAAATTATAATTCTAAAACTCTATCAAACGCTACCTTTGACTTTTTGGTATAAGTTGTTGACTTTTTGAATTTTTTAGTGACTTTTTAACTTTTAGGCTAAAAAGTAATGTTATTAAACGAGACCTTAATATATATAACAGCCAAACTTAAGCACAATTTTAAAATCGTTAAGTTTTCAAACTTGAACGATCTATTACTTAACTCAATAAACTTATACACACTATAAAAAATTAAACCACTCAAGATTGACTACTCATTAAAATTTGTCCAAAATTGACTCATTATGTAAACAAGCTAAGTTTGACCATGATTTTAAACACGTTAAATTATCAAATCAAACTTGAACAATCTACTACTCAGTTTGACTATACTCGTTTTCAATTCTATCCATTGCAAAAAGGCTCTTCTTAATATTTTATTGGATAATTTTGAGTAATGATACATAATTCTAAGGCCCCGTTTGGTAGAGTTGTAAAAAAGTGATTATAAATTATAACTTAACAAATTATGCCTTATAACTGTGAACATAAGCTGTTAATATGTTTGGTGCAGCTGTGGGATTATGGATTTAAGCAACTAAGTAGTGTTTGGTTAATAAGCTGCAAAATAACTTTTTATGTATAATTGTCTTTTTTTGCCCTTATATGATATAAAAATGATTATTTTATCATTTTTTTTCAGTTTTAATTTTAAAAAATTATTTCATTAATAAAAGTTAATATAATTAGTATTACAAAAATTATCATTTTATTAATAGTATCAATTAGTATAATTTTTTTTCATTTTTTCATTATAAATTAATTAGTGTCAATTAATGGCTTAATTAACATCAATTAATACTAAAATTATTAAATAGTACCAATTAGTATAATTTTTTTCATTTTTTCATTATAAATTAATTAGTGTCAATTAATGGCTTAATTAGCATCAATTAATACTAAAATTATTAAATAGTACCAATTAGTATAATTTTTTTCATTTTTTCATTATAAATTAGTTAGTGTCAATTAATTGCTTAATTCGCATCAATTAATACTAAACTAATATTATCAATTAGTATAATTTTTTTTCATTTTTTATTATAAATTAATTAGTCTCAATTAATGGCTTAATTAGCTCCAATTATTATTTTTTATTCATTAATTATTATTTTTTTTATTAAAAAAACACTGAAAACATCCCCACACAAAAAACAAAAAAACAAAAACAAACTGAAAACCCTAGCTTCAGCGGGACAGCGGCGATGAACCAGAGCTAGGGTTTCAGATTGATCCACAGAGAAAGAGAGAGAGAGTCGTCATGCCGGCAGCCCCTTCTTCTTCTCCTCCTCCTCCTTCTCATCTCACCATCGGTGTCGATCACAAAGAGGGAGAGAGAGCTAGGGTTCACGCTGTCGATCGCAAAGAGAGAGAGATCGCGATGGTTCAGGTCGCAATGGTTCAAATCGCGATGGAGAGCGATCGGAGAACACTGGAGACAGAGACAGAGAGAGAGAGAGAAGAGACAGAGCTTTGGTCGCCTGAAATCGACCTGTTCGCCGAAAATCGCCCTGGTTCGTCGGAAATCACATTTCCCGTTTGTGTGAGAGAGAAAAAATGAGTGTTCTTGGTTTTTATACATGGCACACTTGTAATTAGCATCAATTGGGAAGGGCATTTAAGTCATTTTACGCCCCTCATTTCAGCTTCCCGCATAAGCTCAAATCAGAAGCACCCCTGGGGCTGTTTATAAATTTAAGCTCAAAATAGCTTAATAAAAGCTATAATCTATCCCTTTAAGTTTTACCAAACGCACCAAAATAACTTAATTTAAGC